AACCCGTCAAATGCCGCGTGCGACATTTCAGACTTCGGGAATGAAAAAGAAAGATCAAAATCTCATTTTAGCATTATTCTAGACATTCATTTTGTTTCTCTTACTTTCGCGTTGACGTTTACCTTGATTTTGTGCATTTATTCGTTTATGGTAGCCGTCGGAAGCGTTAAACTTGTGTCGAGAGGGTCGAACTTGGTTTGCGAGCTTCCATAAATATTTTAACACAAAATCAGCGAAGTGGAAGTGAGGATTGAGGTGTTAGTAAGAAAAGGGAAGAAGTTTAGGCAGATCGGAGAATGGTAAGGTTATGCCGAGAAGCCCGTTTGAGTGTTGGTATTTAAGGCGTTTTTTGGGTTAATGTGTGTTATAAGCAAAATTTTATGAAACCCTGTGTTGCCTACAAACCCCCGTGTTGTTTATACGAAACTGTGAGCTCGAAACGAGCATCAGGAAACTCGTCTTAGGGCTATCGCATCAAGTCAGATGAAATAATCTTATCCTAAATTAAAAAAAAATAATATTTAATAGGTTTTCATGTGATTCCATATTTGACACTGATATATTTAGAATTTTCTATATATTGTGGATGAACATTGAATGTATGAATGCAAGTTGATTTCTTCATACGATACATATGATATTATTATGCTAGGATCATGCTATGACACGTATGATTGTTTATGATATCGTTTACATGTATTCATTTGTTATGATTCATACATGTGACGTATTAAATGTCTATGAATGTGCGCTACTGGTATTATGCTTTAAGAAATGTCACAAGAAATATTATGAAAAAACTATTACATGAGTGCTTGTAAATACGCTATACAGAATGTGGTATTCCCGACTTTTGGTGTTCAGGCGACAACAAAACACTGGAAATAGTTATGATCAGAGGGCGACAGAGCGTAGGGAATCGTTGGTATCAAGAGGACTATTGATAACTTTTATGTTGAGGAGGATAAATCTTTATTGATAGTTTATATAACCTTTGAAGCAAGGTGACGATCCATGATATGAGAGGACATATAAATAGATGAGGCTTATACATTTACAAGAGACATTACTATTCTATGATGAAATTGATATGATAATGCTGCTATGATGATACTACTATAATGACATTGTTATGATTACATTGCTATGAACATGCTTACGATTATATGATTATGATTATACATGCTTTACACAACAGTCTTGATTTCTGCACTAATTATTTTCTTTTCATGTTTAATAAGTTTTCAGCATGTTGTGACTTGTGTTTAGACATATACAGTTTCATATGAACAAGCACGTTGTTTCTTTTACGTATATAAAATCTTATGTTTTTTCTTGATTATTTCGTTAAGCTCGTTGTTGTCCACTCTACGATGTTGCCTTTCAGGAAGAGACAAGGAATATTGAGGCGAGTAGTAGGTGTGTTTTTTTTCTATATACTGTAAAGTTTTTTTTCTTTATACTGTATTTTGGGTACGTATTTTATTTATTATTAGATTTAGCAGCTCTGCATAGTTTATATGTTCTGATGATATAATTTTCTACATTTTCGAGTATGAATTTGAATGAATTATGAAATGTAATGTATCGTGTATGTTTGTGGCGATTTAGTTAGACAAGTTCATCACCCACTAGATCCTGATTATGTGTGTTAGAACAAGTGTTGGTGAGAATTTAGTTAGGACAAATTGTCCACATTTGTCACACATCATTCAACCCTTACAAGAGGATCAATTAGGGTGTAACAATTATATTGCTTCAAATTGAAGATAATAAAAAAATGATCTTAGTTTTATTCATCACCACTGTTTTAAATTGCTGACATATTTTATAAAGCTCTTGTTTATTGAAAAATTGAAAACAGGGTATTCATGATATATATAGATGATGCCTCAAATAATGATAGAGTAATCAAACTGTTAAAGGAAAGCTATAGAGTGAAAAAAAAAATTGGGGGTAGACTCTTCCATATTCATTATTGTGCACACATTATAAAATCAATGGATAACGATGGGATTAAATGTATCGAATATGTGGTTAATATGATTCGGGACTCAGTAAGCTTTGTAAATTCCTCTAAAAGTTAGATTGTTGAGGATTGCAGGTGTAATTCAACAACTACAATTGCCTTACAAGAAAAATAGTGATGAATTGTTCTATAAGATCGAACTCTATTGCATTACAATTAAGAGAAGCAATCCTTTCATATGGAAAATGTGATATTATATATGTGAATCCAATAAGGACGAGTGGAATATCATGCAAAAGGTTTGTAATGTTTTTGGTTTCTTCAATGAAAGAACTAAGATAATTCCACGAACTGAGTATCCAACCTCCAAATTGTTCCTTTCACAAAATTGCAGAATAAAGAATGTATTAAATGAAGAATCAATTTCATCTAATTCTTTCATTAAGACGATGGCAAAATTGAAAGAAAAATTCAGCAAGTATTTGAGTGAATGTAATCTGCTCATGGGTTTTGACGCAATCATGAATCCTAGAATGAAGTTTGCAGAGATCATATTTGCATATCATAAGATCTATAGTAGTGATGAAAATATGAGGAATGTATCACTCATTCCAAATTTGATACATGAGCTTTATGAAGAGTATGCTACTTATGTTGAGCTTTTAATGGAAATGCATATTAATACCATAGATGCATGCATATTTTAGTATGAATGTAACATCATAGATATCATATTTATACCAAATAGTATAATTACTTTAGAGTCAACATTTAATGCAGAAGAAGAAGTTGTTAATACATATAACTAAATTTAGTGTGAAAACCGATCAAATTGGATTCGTTCTCATCACAAACTGAAAAGAAAAATCAAGATATTACATATATTTATTTCTTTATAATTCATAACAATATATAGTCCAATCATAATAATAATATCATGTGATCTTCTATTATTTTATAAGAAGAAGATGATGACAAAGAGATGGAGATCACTTTACCAACAAGATGGAAGGAAACATAGAACTCTTACGAAAAACAGATTAGTAATTCTATTTCTTTTAATTTATAATGATTTACTAGACTTAACTATGATTGTTTTTTTTTTTTTTTCAGGATCCAAAAAATAGAGTTTCTATGTTGCTCTTCTATAACTATTTATTTGTATACTTTTTGAAAAGAGATATTTATTTCTCATCATGATTTATTCTTTTTTAAAAATTTTGATAAAAAAAATAATAATATTCTTATCTTAGGTTTGTGTCACTCTTACAATTTGTTTTCACTGTTGCTAAAAATATCAAATTTTGATGACAACGGTGTATACAATAATTAGGTCAATGAACTTTTGTATTACTAGAGATATAAGAAATTTTATGATCTATTTGACTTCATGTTGGTTTTAGTGTACTTTATTATTGTTTATAATGTACTTTCTCGTTGGTTTTAATGCACTTTGTATTTGGAGATATGAAATATTTTGTTGGTCAAAATCTCTAATTTAACATTTAATTTTATATTGCTTGTATGTTCTACTTCTCGTTAATTCTACTGTCACAAGTCATGACAAATGAGTATTAGTATCGTTGATTAATTTCAATTTCTTCTTTTCTCTATGATTGTAAGCTTCAAATTTTACAATGTTGGTGCCTATTGTTGAATTTTTTTGTTGTAGGATGTCAATTTTACATCAGCATAAATTATACTTCTTGTGGATTTTAATTTCACAAATCATAAATAAATCAGTATTTAGTCTCTTTGTTAGATGTAAATTTCTTCTTGTCTTCATGCTTGCAAGCTGCAAAATTCATAATATTGATCATAATTGTTGATTTTTTTTTTGTATTTAATGTCAAGTAACTTCACTAGCCTAATATATATTTTTAAAAGCCAAAATTTATTGTTACAGGTTCTACAAAAATTACGATTAAAAGCATATATATTAGCCTCAAAATATTCTAAAATTTATGAAATCACCATATGCAATTGAGTTCATAAATGAGCCAAGCTCGAGCTTCCTAGCCAAGCTCAAGTACACGTGTCGAGCTCAAGACAAACGTTTGTCTCTCGAGTCAAGCGCGAGCTTGAGGCAGCATATACTAAGCAAGCTGAGCTCAATTTAGCTCCGACCCGAGCTCAACTCTACTCGTTTACACACCAAGTTTGGACAATAGCACATGGACACCTCTCAAATTGATGTTTAGCAAGATGGGGGGGAATGTAACAAAATCCGCATCCTTTTTAAAGCCTTACATACAACATTAAGCAGCCTTTCAGTTTGCTATAAATGGGCAACAAAATAAAGTGGGAGTTGCTAAGTATATTTTGTTCATTTTATTGCATTAACATTGCAACGGATTTCAGAAGAAAATAAAATGTGAAGTAACTTCATTAACTTCACTTTGAACAAGCACAGAAAAGTTGTTTTGTATGTAAATGTTATATGTTACATCTTTTAGATAAAATATTCACCCAAAAAAGCACCCCGAGAAAAGGCATTGACATCAAGATCTCGATATTGACTCCACTAAGCACTTTGAGGGGGCACCAAGTGGCAGAGTCATCAAGTACCTAGTTTATCAAAACCCACCCAAATAGTCTTATTTATTTAAAATACGAAAAAAACATTGGAATACTCCTCGTCTTAATTAAAGATTCAAACAAATTACAGATGAAAATACTAACATTTAAAAAAAAAAATTAGAGATGCTTTCAATTAATTAAGTTGTTTTGCCTTCGAATTTTTTTGCGGTTGATTAAAGAAATATTACTGCTCAAAACCCCAATATAACAAAAAATATTATAATAATTTCATTTTTTTTCTATAGGGTTTTCAGCGTGCGACAGCCCAACACTTCCCTGCAGGTCTTTGCCATTAACTCGAAAATTTCATCCACAGTTTCAATTCCCAAAACTTTCTCTATAGAGGTTTCTTCCATCTTCTCTTTTTAGTTTGTGAGTTTGAACATTAACAAGATCATAGGTGCTCACATATGCATGTATTATGAAGTCCCAAAATCATAGGGAAAGTCACCTTTTTAGGATTCTGGATGGAACTCAAAGGAAGGTGTGTGATCATCTCTTGATATGCACACTCATCTCTTTGAGTAACTTGAATGACTCCATCAAGGACTAGAACCTTTCCATAAGTAGCCGACTGAATTCAAGATAAGACGAACATATGACATTCAGATCAAACTGACTTAGGAGAGATATGTGCAACGTGTAATTAATGAAACAAATAGTAAATTGGAATTTGTGCCAAATTTACCTGGAACACCATCACATCTTGATACTCAGATTTTCCTTGATACAATATCTTCTCTATCTTCAAAGAGTGAGCCTCGCCTAAAAGAAGATTTAGATTTGATAAAAAAGGAAAAACAAGGAAAGACTCGATGGTTCGGCGAAAAAAACAGTAGTAAAATATTCTAATCTATGCTAAAAAGGGCCAAAATATCTCACATTCAGAAAAGAAAGCGAGATTCTCCATAAAGCCAAAAAACAGTTGATATCCTGGCATACACACACTGCCAGTTATCGACCGCTAGTGAAAATGAGTTTGAAGATAGGTAAAAAGAGTACCATCAGCAGCAGCAGGAAATTTATCAAAGTAACAACAGTACCATGGTCATTCATGGAATTAAGAAGACTTGCTGGCAGATCAACAACATGATCAATCAGCTTTATAAAAACTAAAGTACTGATAAAGTAGCTTTCTGCTTGGGGAAATATCTCAGTTGAAAGGCACAGTATCTAAGCACAGTCAGTAGCATTTAAGCAAATTTATTTTAAGAAAAAAAAAAGTAAACTTTCTAAAGTGTGGAAGCAGCTAGTCGTTGCAAGTTATCACCCACTTAGAAACTTAAGTTTGTCATTAAGACCAATATATCACTTGAATCTTTCAACTTAACTTGCAAAAATAAAGTACATCTTTACGTTTTTTCAAAACCTGGTCATGTGGACCTAAATTTGAGATATAAAATGACAAAAGAATTTGAATAAAAGAGTCCTGAGAGAGCTCTGAATACCAGAAAAAAAAGATGATAACATTTGTTACTGGCCATCATAGCATCTAAATCACAAATCAGTACAGGACTAGAAACCAAAAAGGGTGAGGCTCTGACAAGAACCAAAACCCGTCCTCAACTTCCAACTATCTCAAACAAAGCCCGGGTAGTGTGAATTTGGAATGAAATGGGACAGAAGAGGAGAGATGATACTCGGTGTTGAAGGGTGGAGAAGGATAAAATGGTTCGATGTAATCCCAAACTCAACCCAAAAAATGGTTTAGAGTGAGTACAGCAAAGTAGAGGTGCTGAGAAAGAAGTTAGCCAACTACCTCCCTATCCATGCACATTGTGCAAAGCACAAAAGAGAAGGAAATGGATGGGGTTGATCTCTAGCTGAATCAAGCACTAATTGCAACCACACAAACAGGGAAGGCTTGAAAGAGAGAGAGAGAGAGAGAGAGAGAGAGAGAGAGAGAGAGAGAGAGAGAGAGAGAGAGAGAGAGAGAGAGAGAGAGAGAGAGAGAGAGAGAGAGACAAGGTACCATTAACTACCCCAAATGCAAATGGCACAAGTCTTAACAAAGAAAAATCGAGAAAAGTGAGAGGCAACTTGAGGTTGGGCAGGGAAATGAGATAGACTAAAAGGGGATGCATTTGGTGGGGCTTGGGGGTGATAAGAAAAGGAGGGAGGGAAAGTTGGAGTCGTTGGTCAAGGCAATCAAAAGTACAGCTAGAGTTGTTGAAAGAAAGCAAAACTTAAAATAGCTCGAAATTTGTCTCAAGTTAATGTCAAGTTTTACTAGACTTGCTCAAATATAATTCAAGCAAATTCAAAATGAATGTTTATATAAATTATATAATATTCATTGTATGACAATATATTTACATTAGAAACGGTTTGTGTGACAATATCAATATATACACACACATATGTAAATAAATATATATACAAACACACACATAGAGGCATATAT